AGGGGGGGGGGGGGGGCGCTGCTTCCATCCCCAGGGCAGCGTCGCCACCGTGGGACCCTGCACCATAGCAGCTCCTGGCACCAGGGCCTGGCCCCAGGTTTTGCTCTGCCCCCGCTGGGAGTGGGGACCCTCCCTACCCCTGCACCACGCCCTGAGTTCAGGGAGTCTGTGTGTGCCACAGGGTACTGGGGAGCATGCGTGGGCTGCCAGGGGCTGGGGCCAAGGGGCAGGACTCTGCATCTGCACCCACCACACTAGGCTGGGCAGAGCTCTGCTGGAGCCAGCACCACAGCTCCTGCACCCTACGGTGAGGGCGAGGCCCAGGGTCAAGGTCAGCCACAGCCATGGGCACAGCCTGACCTGACTCCCCTAGACACTGTACAGCCCCCACCTCCTTCCAGCCCCACTGGAGCCTGGTGGACTCAGCCATATGGGACACTGGGGTCAGGTCAGGCCCCCACAAGGGCAGTGCCACAGCCAAGACAAACCTCAGCTCAGCCTCCCCAAACCCTCCGGCCCCAGTACCTCTGGGACTATGGGCTGTAGCCCCCTGGCTTGTACCTCTGAGGGTACAGGCCACATACCCCGCAACCCCGGTACCTCTGGCCACTTGCAGCTCCTCCTGCGCCGCCTCCAGCTGGGCCCGCAGCACGGTGCAGCCCTGGCACTGGGATTGCCCCCCAGGACAGGCTGCACTGCCCTCTGCCCTCCCTTCGGTGCTGCCATCCACTTCCCATGGCGATCCAGGGTCTGCCCGTGGCAAGGGGCCGTCAGCCTCGGGGCTCGGGCACCGGGGGGGCCTCCCACAGGGGCTGGACGTCCTGTCTGCTGGAGGCTCAGCCCTGTCCATGTGACCACCTCGCGCTGCAGCTCCCCATGTTGCCCTCGCATTCTGCCCCCAGGAGGCCCCGCGCAGCTCCAGCGACTGCCCCGCTGCTGCCTGCAGCTCCTCTGGGCCCCGTTCCCCAGGTGGTGACTCCAGGCCATTCTTCACCAGCCGGCTCCTTCCAGGTGCCGCCCTGCTTCTGCGGCCCACCGCCGTCCCTAGGCCCCCTGCATATACCCTAGGTGCCGCATGGCCACGCAGGTCTGGAGCTGGGGAGGAACAGAGCCAGGAGTTAGCACCCCAGAGGGGGCAGGAACCTGCAGGAAGGGGGACCAGAGCAGGCCATGCCCAGGACTCTTGCTCGGTGCTGGCCACACCCCGGCTACTTGCTAAGACCACCCCTGCCATGGTCCTGGAGAAGCCCTGCAAACAGTCCCCCACAGTCAGCCTGGTGCCCCAAGAGGAAAAGTTCCCTACCCAGAGGACCAGCACTCCCACGATCCTCCTGTGCAAGGTCCCTGTCTGTCTCTCTCTGCCCCTGGCCCAGGAGCACCTGCTCCGCAGCACCAGGACCTTCAGCCCCTCCCCAGGGAGGCTCCAGCACCTAGAACAACAGTGGCCTCAGTGCCAGTGGCTTGGGGCATCAGGGGTGGCTACCCTGCGACCTGGGAGCACAAGGCTGGCACCTCTGCCAGACCAAGGCCACGACAAGCACAACACCCCCCCAGTACCACCCCTATCCAAGCCCCCCGCGCTGACCTGGGGTTGCAGCTGTCTGGCCTGGCGCTGTGGCAGCAGGAAGTCCTCAGCCAGGCCCACGGCCTCAGGGCCGCTCTTGGGACACCGCTCCCGCACCCAGCGCTGCACCCGCTCTGGCAGCAGGCTCAGGAACTGCTCCAGCACCAGCCGCTCCAACACCTGCTCCTTGCTGTGCACCTCCGGCTGCAGCCAGCGCCAGCACAGCTCCTGCAGGCAGCCGTAAGCCGCACGTGGCCCCGCTGCGGCCTCATAGCGGAAGCCCAGGAAGCGCTGCCATGCTGTTGGGGCCTCCACGCCCCCCTCAGCCTCATCTGCTCCTTTGACCTCTGCGCTGTGCTTCCCCCCAACCCCCCACACCGTGGTGGGCACTGACCCCCCAGAAGGCAGGAGCCGGAGGTCCTGTGACCCCTCCTGGCACCGCGGCTGCTGCCCGTTCACTGGCTGCTGGGGCACCAGCCAGCGCAGGATCTCATCTGCTGTCCAGTACTGTGCCGGGACGGGGGCTTTCCCTGCTGCCCCTGGCTCCCCCCAGAGCTCCGCCGTGCCCACTTCTACGTCCTTGCTGTGGCCCCTGTCCCGCACTGCCTGCTCCAGCAGCGCCTGGAACTGCAGCCCCGTGCCCACACCCTCCACCTGCACCTGCTCCCCCCTTTCCTGTGGGGCTGAGGCTGGGGCTGGGGCCTGCACCACGGCCTGCAGCGCTTCCAGCTGTCTCTGCAGCAGCTGCTCCAGCAGCTGCGCTTGGAAGTCCCGCTCCTCGAGCCGCATCTCCCGGTCATGCTGCATGAACTCCGCCAGGCTCTGCCGCTCCTCTGCCCTCCAGGCACTCGCACGCCGGGCTCGCTTCAGCTCCAGCAGGTGAGAGCGCCCGTGCTTGGGTCCTGAACCCCGCGCTGCCTCCGCCGGCCCCTCCTCCCGTGCCTTGCGCTTCCGCACTCGCAGCTGAGCCAGCCGGTCCAGCGCCAAGGTGAGGCGCCGTGGTGCCAACTCCGTCTCCTCCCCCGCGGACACAGACGGGTCTGTGGGGCCAAGAGCGTATGCAGAGCATTGAGACCTCTGCCCTTTGACATGGCCCCCCGGCAGCATCCCGCAGATCTCCCATGCCCGCGCTGCGGCCAAGCTCCCAGCCCTCACTGTGCGCAAGGGCTAGCCTGTCATGGGGGGTCAGGGCAAGTGTGGACTTCCAGCGTGGTGCTGCTGCCCTGCGGAGTTGCCCCAGCGTCCCGAGCGCAGAACGGGAACCTCAGGGGACCGCAGGAACCGCTGCACACCCACGCCCCGGAAGAACTCACCGGGCTCAGGGGGCAGCTCCTCCCCGGACGTCTCCTCCTCCTTCACGCGGACGGCGCACACCTCACCCAGCGCAGCCTGCGCCCTGGACGGGCAGGCGCCTGACTCCTGCGGCCCCCAGCTGCGCGAGGCCGTGGCCGGGCAGACCCAGCTCCGCGACAGGCCCCAGCGCTCCGAGGCGGCGGTGCCCTCTGGCATCTCCAGGCCCGAGGCCACATCGCCAGTGTCAGAGAAGAAGGTGGCGCGGGGGCCGCCGTTGCCTCCACCGCCCCGCATGATGCAGTCCATCTCCTCGTAGAAGGGGCAGCGCATGGGCGGGGGCCCCGCCGCGGTGTTTTCCTTTGCCTTTCGGTGGG